ATTGTGGGAAAATTCTACTACCAGTCCTTCATCACCTTACACGAAATAGGGTGAATACATTTCATTACAAATTCATACAGTCTATTTTTTTAGATAATACGTGTCTTCATTGATCCAAAAAGGGCTTTTCAGAGCTTCTCGTACTGGATAAATGCCATTTCGTTCGGAAGTTATGCCCTTTCACGGACCATGCAAGTTCCAAGTTAGAATCCAGTCAAAATTGTTGATAGTCGCTATACTAAATATATTTTAAACTGTACTCAATTCCTGAGTTCTTCATTTGAAAATAAAGGAACAAGGATAAATGTTTCTTTATTTCTTCATTCTCAAAGCTGTTTGGCAGTTGATAAATCTGAGGCAAACAAAGGTTTGGCTTGACAATTAACGTAACGCCCTACGGCTCATCTAGGTCGTTTCTTACTTCATAAATGGTCCTAATTTCGTTTAGGTTCAAGCCTCTTCAGTAAGCCCATATGGACGAGGGAGTCAAAGGCTCTAGCGCCACAAGAGGATAGTAAAGCTTCCTATGGCTCAGTCAGGATTTAGTACTCCGTTTGGCCAGCTAGACTAGAGATCTGACACTTTTAAGAATGGTCTATCAAGCCATGGGCATTTGCTTATGGAGTGCGGTTATCATGGTCTTTGAGTGCATATGTCTTGGGCCTGGACCGGTCCACCATTTCACATCTGACGACAAAACTGGTTACAATTTGGATTTACTCCCAACAATGGAGAAACCCAATACAAATGTGAGTAACGCCACTGGGTTTCCAAAATGGCTTTGTGCCACAAATTTGGCCGTACACAACAATCTTAAGTGGGACCCCTTCAAGCATCGCTTTTAAGATGGGTAACCTGGTTTTGCTGCTCCAAAACGAGTTCAACAGGGCGTTGTCAGCCAATGTCCTCTTGTAGAATCCTCATGTAGACATGTCTCCAATTCTCACTCACAAGCTTGGCCAACTTCCAAGGTTAGTATTTCATAGAGTAGTGAAGATTATAATCCTCAAAAGTCCTAACGACTGAAAGGCGAAGTCATTTACAAAATTGTATAAACCTAATAACTCCTGCAACCTCAGCCTCAGATTGAAAGATATTTCTATAAACCAAGTCTGATTGAATATTCCCACTTGTTATCGAAACACGTCAGTTTGTAATTGTGTTATGGGGTTTTATTACAATGCAACTAAAGGTAATTTAAAGAAAATGGTTTATCTATATATGGATTTATAGCGCCATGCATCCTAAAAGACGAATCTTATTCATGATACACTGTAGTTTATACCTCGCCTTGGCCTTAAGATCGTCACCAGAAAAAATCGAGACATGGATATGGGGGGAATGCAAACACGTATCAGGAATTGCCATTACTTCCTGAGGTACAATATGTATGAATTTCAACATGATATTAACCATTAAAACAAATTTAAATGGGTAAACTATAGCATTTTTTCGCATTTTCATAGATTGTAAGATGGATTAATATTTTGCAATCAAGCGTAATATAATAAACAAATTTTTGTAAAGCAAATATTTTAAATTTATATTATTTATACTACTATAAATTATTAAGTACTATATATTTTTTTAATAATTATTGCTGGTTTAGTACTAGCTTAAGATTTTTAACGATATTATCAACATTAATATAAGCCAAAATAATTATTGACGCAAGTATCTTAATAATTGTATCGTTTTTAACGATATATACGAT